AAGGTTAAGTCGCGCAACTAGCCTTGGCTAGGTCAAAGGGGTGCCTTGGATTCTATCCTTGCCTTCCCCTTTGTCAAACGTGACCCCCGAACCTTTTTCTTTGGCTTACGTGGACTAGGAGTCGTTTTAAAAAGGGTTTTACTACTTTGTCTTTAAAAAAACATCTTTTTGGGTGACTTGGTACACCCCAAATCTATACCAAGTGGCGACTCCGTTTTCATATTTAAAAAACCCTTTTTAAATTTTCATTTGGCCAAATCGTCGCTTTCCAAAGTCCCATGGCCTATTTACTTTTCATGTTGCACACGTTCACACCACACTTCGCACATCACATCACATCATCATCACTCGAATCGAAAAGTGGGGCGCGACAGAGGCACAAGGCAAGGAGTATTCACTTGGAAGAGAAGAGTAGAAAAATCTTCAATGCACTGTCAAAGGATTGGAAGACCAAAGCCACTTTAATTGAGGAGGCTAAGAATTTAAATTATGTACCTATAGAATCACTGTTAAACTCTCTCACTTCATATGAACTTTAAGTCTAACATACAGGATGAAGAGGAAAACAGAACCAAATGAGCCATTGCTCTTAAGACTGCTCAGAAAGATGATGATGCTGTATCAATTGCTGCTAAAGAAGAAATAGATGATGAAGACATGGCACTCATCATAAAAAGTCTTAAGAGGTTGATCTCAAATAAGAAAAAATTCAGAAGAGGAGTTACTCCAAATAGCAATGCAGCTACCTTAATCTCCTTCAAAGGTAAAGGAAAACAGGAACATATAAGAAAGTAGAATGACAAATGTTTTGAATGTGGACAGGTTGGACACTATGATAATGAATACCCCACCAAGAGAAAGAAGGAATACAAAGGAGAAATGAAACAACATTTCACCAACTATTAGCTTACCTGAAATGAGTGCAGCTCTGATGGTGAAATTGATGAAGAATTTGAAACTACTCAAATGGCTTTCATAGCACTAGGAGATGAACAGGTAACTTCTAACTACAATTCATGTGATGATAATGACGCCGATAACATAGAATCTATTATGCTTAGGATGTATGAAAGTTTGAAATGATCTTTCTTTCATCAAAAATAAAGAATTGACAACAAAAATTGTATTGAGAAAATGCAAGTTTGCTTCAGAAAAAATAAGAAATTCAGGCAGGAAGACAATGAATTTAAAAGAATCATATCTGTTTTGGATCAAAAATTGAAATTCTATAAAAACCTAAAGGTTGAATAAAAAATTTGAAAAATAGAATGGATAATTTGAATCTTTTGTTGAAAGTTAAGAATAAAAAATTTTCACAAAAGAAAAGGTTTGATGTTCTTCAAATTATTAGTAACTTTGTTACTTACAGAAAAAAATGGCCTGTGTTTTTCAAATCTCATTGTAAAGATGCTAGTGTTGTCTGTGATTACTGTTGTCGACATGGTCATGAGAGAAAAGACTACCATGTGAACAAAAATGTCAGAAATGGAATAAAAGTAGTTTGAATTGTGAGAAACTTACCTAACCAACAATGACCCAGAAGACCATGGGTACCAAAAGTTGTGAGACCCTGAAATTTAACTTGTTTTTATAACTCTTATCAACATAACATACAATGCATCAACAAGTTTCATCATCGTTATGTGCCGCGCACGTGAGCTGTGTAAGTTTGTGCTTCTAGATGCTCCATTGGAATGGTTCGCGTAATTGGGTCGCCCATGAGTTTTCTGCTTTGGAATTAATGGCCGTACTAGTTCATTTCCTTTCCCGGCTCTCACAGCTGCATTGTTCGGAGCTGATAGCAGAGCTTTCTCAAGAATGGTAATTGGTGTGATTCATCATGGCTGTGTCTTCCGATGTCGTCCGAATTCCAAGACGGGTTGGTTGTGCCTTTTTTCCCTAGGGTTTTCTCATCTGCTTTCTCATTTCCATTTTCTCAAATTGATTGTGCCCTTGAACCTGTTCCCCGTTTTGAGTTCCTTCCTCTCACCGCCTTCTCTGGCCAGCTTGGTTACATCTTCTTCATCCTATTTTTCGGTCTCGCCGAGCTTCTTTTACTGGTGCGTTTTAATCATAATCGTGATTCCTCTGCTCTTTCTTTTCTCTTGGTTTTCTGCAGAAGGTTCATATAGTACTGGTTTTAAAACCTTCACCACCACCACCACTATAGTTGACATAAGCAAGGTAACTTCATGACTCTGCCTTCTTTACTCTACTTTTTGGCCTGATTTTTGAGCGGTTTGAACTATGTTTTTCTTAAACATTATCTAAAGGACAATTTTTAACGTAACTGAGCTCATTTCAAACCCTACGGGTGATCAAAATTCCACCATATGTTGTTGTTGGTAACTCCATGGCCTCTACTTTTATGTTCTTGATGGTCTCTGATACTCTTTAGTGTATTTTTTCCCTTATTCCTTATTTTTCTTCCCTCTTAGTTTCCATTTTTATTCCTTCTGCATATAATGTTCTTGTGAAACACTAGCTAGGGCTTGAGACTTGAGAAGAATCTCAGATTCACCACTTATTCAAGGCAATAAAGTACACTACTAAGGGTTGGTTTGTTACATTGATATGAGAATATTAATGCAGGTAATTCACTTTATGACTTCAAGAAAGATAGATACATTAGGACATGAGTTGCACTATTGTTAGGTGTCTAGAGTTTTTATTTGATGTTCAAATTAGAATCGCATTGTATATGTACTTTGATGCACTGAACTAAGCCATTTGTAGTTTTTTGTTTAAAAAAATATTTGTTGCCTAATTTCCATTGATATGTTAAAGTGGTCTTCTATCGAGTTTGTTCACCTAAGCATAAGGTATTTACCTGTGAGTACACTGTTATGGATAGGTGTATACCTGTAGGCGCACTGGTTTGGCAGGGAATTGATTACATTTAGTATAATAGGACTTGAAGTGATATTATCTTGTTTGTTTTATAGGTTGATCGTTGTGCTTCTTTTGGGCTAATTTTGCATTACTGTCTATGTTGATGTTTTGTTTATGGCCTTTTATTTGGCAGCAGGCACTCAACAATAGTTATTGCTACCGGGACTATTCGTATATCTGAGGTCAACAAATCTACACTTGAGTGGACCACACTGCTTTATGTTTTCTAGGTTGGTCGTGTGAAAATTGCCCACATGGGGACACTGAGGTTTATTTCCTCTTAGACTTTCCAATTATTCTATTGTTTGGTCTATGATTTTTTACATTATTTTGTGTGAGTTCCAATGGATCCTTATGAAGTAACGAAGTTAGAAGAGTGTGACAAAAGGATATTGCTCCACAATTAGTCAAGCCATCAATGACATTTTTGGGAAATGAAAGCTTGCTTTTGTGATTTCGATTGGCATGCTATGAGCTGTTATAGTTTGCATGATGGTTTGAACCTTGTTGTTTGTTTTTTCTCCTCTTAGCTTCGCTGATGTCTCTGTTTGGATTCTTAGTATATTTCTTTTGTTTCCTTTAATTTTCTATGTTTTATATGGTCCATATATTTATTATAGGAGGAAAGAATAAGTTTTGCCTTTAGATCAAATGTCAGTCTACAATTTGTAAAGATTAGAATAATAATTTTTCCTACCAAGTGCAAATGATGTTTGAAGTATCATTCCTTCGAGCAAACATCTTTTATGTTCTATTTTTTGTATTTTTGTGGGTTTTGCTTTTCTTTATTTTACTTTGAAACTTTTTGTTCTGTAAGTATCTTTTTGATTCACGTACAAGAAGAAAGAAGTTTTGTCCTTCTACTATTTTCCTTAAAAATTGGAAATTTATGTATTCCATTAATCTTATTTATCTAATTTTGCTTCTATCTTCTTGTCAACACACAGAACATCATGTCTTATAAGACAAATTATGACTTTATATTTTCATTTTCTTGGTGGTGGTGGTTTTTTTTGGTTAGATCTGTTTTTACCCTTTTCATCTGTAAAGAAATTTTTTCTTTTTTTTGGCCTGTGTCTCTTGCAATTCCTGTATCCTTTTGATTTTTTGATTTGTAAAGTTGTTGAATGCTCAAGCTTGTGGTCGCTGGTTTATTTTCCTGCTTTTGCTTTTTATGTGCATTTCTTTTGGCCATTGTTTTCTTGGTTTGGTTATTTTTCTTTGTTAGCCATGTTGGTGGCATTGTACCTTTTTGGTGTGTTAGTGTTCCTTTTTCATTAGCTATGTATCTACCTGCATTTGTAAAGCAGACCCTCCAAAATTTTTCGATGATTATAGAATGCAGTAAGGGTATTTTTGCATCGGTGATTAATATGCTTGTTCGTTGTGTAATTGGTGACTTGGCATTATTGCTTGTTCTTTTTTAATTGACCAGATACTCACAAAACTCTCGCTTGTAGTGAATCTACAACTGCCAGCACGCTGGTGGGCTAAGCTTGAGAAGATGACTTGAATCTATTGGAATAGCAGAGAATTAGAAAGTTGCCTTAGGAATGGCAAGTTTATTTTCCATTAGTTTGGGAAATGGATTTTATGTTAAACCAAATTTTGTAATATGATTCGATTGTAATACTTGATAATGGATTACATTTTGGTATAATGTTTTGCATTTTTTTAATTTGACTAAATTCCAACAAGCAGGGGTTGACTTCTTGTTTATTTTCTTGCATATTTTATTTTTGCCTGTGATGCTTATTGCAACAATGCTATCACCCTATGTATAATCAGTTTATAGTCCATAAAGAATTGCTTCCAAGTTTCATATGAATTTATGATGATTATGACATAGAAATAAATGTTTCTTAGTCCTTATAAGTAAAGCTTAAAAAGGTAGGATGTGCTTTAAACTAGAGAAAGAAGCCACTGGTGATGGAGGCAATCTGCAAAACTTTTGTCGTTCCCATTGATATATTTGTTCGATTTTTCACATTGATATATTATTTTATTCTGATCTTCCACATAGACAAGTACTGGTATAATTTTGATTCAAATGATTGGAGCATAGTGTATAAATATAGAGTTGGAAAGAACTTCAAATTTAAAATTGGTTATGATTCAGATGTGTAACTAGGGTGGACATCTCTTTGGGTAAGTTGTGACGCCCCCACCTCTCCCTTGGGCGAACCCTAAGATATCAGCGGACTCCTGTCCAACTCTCGTCAGGACTCACGCATTCGTTCAAGCTTAATATAGAGCCACGAAACATCCAACGACTAAATAAGAAGTACATCGAATATACAAGTCTCAACTTCTAAGGTAAAAGTTATCATTACAATTCATCAACTAGAAGTAACAAAATTACACTTTAAGAGTCACCAAAAGTTCACACAAAGATACTAGCTTTCACCAAATTGCTAGTCTAGGTTCTCCAATCCACCTCCAAAGCCTGTTAAGGAAAACAACTTAAAGGGGTAAGCGAATGCTCAGTGAGGCCAAGAAAACAGACAAGCAAGCACGTAACACCAATCAATCAAATAACGAGTTTAAAAGCAACTTTAAACATGAAATTTAATTCAAGTGCACAAGTAGGAATTAACACACAAGAAGGATACAGGAGCTCTTAGGAGCTATTTCCACATCCCGATCAAGTTGAGCCATCTGGGGTTGACCCTTCGTCAACCCAAATAGTAATACGACCGTAGTGCTCCACTTACTTCCTCCATCCAACTTACACCCACTCGGATTCGGAACCAAACATGCATGAGGTGGCGATACTATTCGAGTATGCCTAGCGAGATCTCAAAAGATCAAGCTATAATATTTTCCAAGATTCAGCAAGCTCTTCGACCAAGTCCTTGCTGGCCCGAGTTACAAGGTTAGCCAATGGGTTGGGGTGCCCCCCAGAAGTACAAGTGATCGATGAGACATCGCTCCAATCGACTTAGAATTGTTTATTGCTCTGAGTTGGTATGAGAGACACCTCCCACCCGAACATGGTGTGGTACATGCTTCCGTTCAGAGAATCAATCATAGCACTGAGTCGGTATAAGAGGCACCTCCCACTCGAATAGGGTGTGGTACATGCTTCCGCTCAGTACTCACGAGTTAAACATGTTCATGTACAAGTACAAGTCGCATATGTTCATTTAACAAGTATCATGTAATCAGGAGAGAGAGAGGACGAGGGCGTTAAGTACACCCTCATTTTGGCAAGTTCACGTATCATGTATAGTACTTGTACACATATCATTTCAAACATATAAGCATTTAACATGCACTTGACACTCACCACAAGTCAAGGCCAAAACAAGAGTGAAGCGAGAAGTCAAACGAGCTCTTCAGCGTCTTCGTGACCACCTGAGACATGTACAATCACAATTATCTAGGTGCTCTACCAAGGCTAAGAAGAAAAATATTTTCTCGCTACCCACTCTCAAGGTCACAAGTTCGAGTCAAGTTAAAGAAGCTTTTCTAGCTAAAACATTGGGATAATTCTCAAAGAAAGCTCGGAGGTTATTTTTTATTCAAGAGAAAGTACCATTTTCACTTTCGACACGAAAATGGAGAAAAAAGGGGTAGATGGTTTTTATCTCCCAAAAGTTCAAATCTCAAGTCTAAACTTTAGAATATAAAGAGCGTTCATATTTTTTCCAAACTAATGGAGTCAAACATATCCAAAACTCCACTTATTTTCATAGTAAAAGTCAAAGCTAAGGTTCCAAAGTTCAAGTATAAAACTAGTGCAATTCACCAAGAACTACTCTAGTCAAAATGCTCCCTTTTTGGAGTTCAAACTCACGGAAATCGAGGCCATAAGAATAGGGGTTGAAGTCCCTAATTAGGGTATGAAGAGAAGTACCATTAACCAAGGGAGTTATATGACCAAGAAAACGCATCAAAAGAGGTTTAACCTTCGGAAACCAAGATTTAAATGAAAGTTTAAAGTTCCAAAGGAATCGTGTATTCAACCATTAAATTACACCTAAAACAGTCCAATAATTGCAAAGGAAGGTGGAAAGTTCTTTAAAAGTGTATTTGTTTGAAAATCAGAAATTCCCAGCTCAAAGTGACACTATTTGGAAAAATCACATCTCGAGTTCCGAAAGTCTAAAAATTAAAAACTTTATACCGTTGGAAACTAGACTTAAAGCACTAAAACTTTATGGAAGACACTTTTCTTAGACTCCAATTCGAAGTCATTCAAACTTTAGCTCAAAGTTCTAGACAGGACAGAGCAAAACAGGCTTGCAAATTAGGTGAAATTTGGAAATTCGGCAAAATGCGTAGAAATGGAATCAGCCCTTAAAATTTATACCATAGTTAAAACTCCAAACCTAGTTTCAAATGCAACAAAAGAAACTCAATTCGGACCTTTCTACACAAAGATACAATGAGTTTGTTTGGATAAGAGTTTATTTGGATGATTTATTTGAGATATTTACTGTAGCACTTTTTGTGATGTGATGTATGTGAGATAAAAAGGTGATTGGGAAGATAAAAAGGTGATTGAAATTTGTGAAAACAAATTTTACAAACCAAATTATCTTTGTCCAAACAAACTCAATGGTTTTAAGAAAACTGAATTTTGGAACCTGTTTTCGAAATTTCCAGTTTTGAAGGCTTGACAGAGTTTCAAAATTCAATCATAACTAGGGCTACAGAACTCAAAATTTAGTGTGGTTTGTGGCGTTGAAAATTAGATTCAAGATTATACAATTCACTAGAAGGAACTGTCATAACATTCAGTTTGCACGATAGGCAAAATTGAGCTACAAACTGCAGTTAGGACTATTTCTTGGATGCAAGCAGAGAGGAATTTCAGTTATCTTTGCCGATTCACTACGGCTCATAGGAAACGAGTTAGGAGGTGCATTTCATACCAACGGAAAGCTCTTGGAGTCTAGTTTCGGATGCCACAAATAGCACTCGATTTCAACTCCCAGATAGAGAGTTATAACCAAAGACGTGAACACTGGTTGGGGTCATCTGATCAGAAATTTTTCCAGAATTCAACCTCACTTTAACCCTACTTAAACACAACCAAATGGAAAGCTTTTTGGAAGGTAATTCATACACATAACCACCAACATGTATCAAGCATTATTGCACCAAAATAACATAAAAATTTTGAAATTAACAAGAGAGGAACAGCTAGAAATTTTCAGCTAGCATACAACTTTCATTCCTCTAGCTTTCTTTTCAACTTTGCAACTAGAACCAAACCATATCCCATCAAAGCAAGTAACAACCAAGCAATTAAACACACAAAATCCTCAAGACCTCTACCTATCAAGCCACCTCAAGTCCACTACCTAATGTCAAGGTTCTTGAGAACCCATCAACAACCCAACAACTATCTTGCTATCACTAACTAACTACTAACTTACTACTATGAATTGAAGAGGAAAAGTTGAGGGTTTCATGGAGGTTTACCTTGCTGCCCAAAATGAAGAGTAAACACTAGAGATTTGAGCTTCTAAATCACCAAGTTTCTTCCTTGATCAAGTCCTCTTCCAAGCTTGTATGAAGACCCAAGACAAGAAGCAAGTATGGAGAGCTTTCTTGGAGCAACAATGGAAGAAGCAAGCTGAAATTTTTGGGGAGGAAATGGGTGAAGGAGGTTCGGCGAAGAGGAGTGGAGAGGAAGAAAAGTTTTGGTGGTAGTTGGGTGATTTGATGGAGTGACAAGGCGAATGACATAAAGGTGTCTTGGTGCACAAAAGTCAACAGCCTGTTAGTGAGCAATTAGTGCTCCTAATTGAGCTTAACTTAACTCACTCTCTTGTAATCCCTCAATTAACTTTTCTTAGTCTACTATTTATCAATTTTAATTTTCCAAGATTATTGCACTCTCAGACCGAATTTACCTCGAAAAACATGCATGCACTATTTCTCGATAAACAAGTCGCGAAAAAATTAAATTCGCTAACGAAACATTTTAAAAATATAAAAGAGACATTTTTGCGTACAAATGGATTTGAAATGAATGAAATAAATTATTCGGAGTAAATGGATAAATAATTAATTAAATAAACCAGTAAAATGAAATAAAAGTAAGTAAAATAAAAATTCGGGTCCTCACATAAGTGTTCTATTTTTTTTTGCATTAATTTCATTGTCTTCGGCTGCTAAGTGTTATGCATTAACTTGACATGCAATATTTATTTTAATTGTCTGAATGTTGACTCGAAGTATAATTACTTATTTAAAATGATACGTGAATGTTCAACTTGAGCCCAATTAGTTGGCTTACTCAAAACCTTAGAGATAGATTACCGCATAAAACAAATTGTACTTGTGGTTTTTCCCTATTTGGTGAGACTGTGAGCATGGATTTCATAAAATATTTTTCTATTCTATTTCGTTGAGCATAATTTGTTGATCTATTAATCAGTAAGACATGAGATAGTCGCTGGAACTTATCTTCTATTCTATATCGTCTATATTATATTTGTGTATAATACTTGTCAGACAGCCCAAAGAGCAAATGTGAAAAAGCTTAAAAAGAATAAATGAATTCAACTTGAAATAGATGTTCTATTTCAATTGATGAGATCTGCAGCATAATTTTGAGTATGTGACAAAAATTAGCTCCTGTAGACTGCAAGAGGCCATATCATACCATTATTTTTTTTCTGTTTTCACTAATAGCCACTGTTTAAGGAGCTTCATAGTTCCATTTACTAAGCTCCCTGTTGCTTTGTTGATGTGTGAAATACATGGTACACCTATTAGGAAAGACCCATGACTGTATGTTTAGGTTGTCTTCTGCTTCCTTCTGCATCATTGATCAACGTTTCTAATAGTGAAAACTTTTATTCACTAAATTGAGCTTTCTAATGCATTGTGTTTAGATTGAAGAGGAAGATGGCAAAGCTAAGATAGCTCCCATGAAGATGAAAGTTCAGTTCACGCTCCAAGTGCCCCAAGATGATATCAAATCCTCTGCTTTGACGTTCAGTGTGAAAAAGAGATGGGACATATGACTTTAAAGGTTGCACAGTGATGGTCTCTTCTTTTTTCACTGCAATGATGAACGTGGTGTATCCGAAAAAAAAGAGAGATGAACATGGTGTATCAAGTGATAGTGCAGGCTTGAGTATAGGTGTTGTAATCAATATTGCTATGCCAAACAGGTCACCATATTGGATAGAAGATTACCTTTATTATGATAGAGCTGAAAAGAAATGATCAAGCATTATGCCTTGGATAATTTCTTTGACAATTCTTGATTATAGTTGTCGACAGTCAATTGTTTATCTGACAACAGTATACAACATATTAAACAAGATATAGTCCACGTTTCTCTATCTGAGGCCACCTTTTTCAGGTTGAACCCAAAAGTGTGCAATAATGAAAAAGTACAGGACAAAGAAATGAATAAGTCGATAAACAATCTTGGTAGACGATGAACAAACTTGCCAAGAAATCATGGGCATGCCCAATCTCGCTACTCTCGAAAATTTGTCTAGCTGTTGTCAATCTTTTCTATCTTAACTAGATTATTTTCTTTTTTTTTTCTTTTTTCAAATTTAGAAAAATACTACTCTTTTTCGTGCTTATAGTTGATAACATTTTATACAATAATCATTCCTCTTCTTCTTCAAGTTGTTAACTTCCATATTTGTGGTGGTCATCTTATCATTTTAAGTTGATATGAGATTTGTTTGTTTATTTTTGACTATTGTAAATCCTTGAGCTTCTCCTTAATTGCATGAAACAAAAAAAAATGTAGTATTAGCATTTTAAAATTCTAAAGTTCATACGCATTTTGTTTTGGATGAGTTTTGGTGGAGCTACTATTTGTGTTCTTCAATACAATCTATTTGCTTTCAAAGTTTATCAACACAATTTCGAAGTACAATATATGTACTTTAAAATGACAATAAAATCTAATATGGTATATACATGAATTTTATTTCATTGGGCACTTGTAGTATCAATTAGTCCACCACGCAATGCGTGGTTAAGCCTCCTAGTTTGAACTTACTTGCCTTAGATTCTTGGTTGTTTTAATGGTTGAATTTGAGCCAAAGGAGTGAAATTTTGTTAAGAAAAGTTTCATTTTCTCAAGTTGTTAGAAAATCTGGAAATTTTCGCAGGAGGCTCTGCACAGCTTTGGGAAATTGGCTATAACTTCGTATAGGAAAGTCGGAATTGAGTTCCGTTTGTTGCGTTTGAAACTAAACTCATAGAACTTCCTACGGTATAAAATTTAGAGTTTGATTCAATTTCTATAAATACCAGAAAATCGGCAAAGTTGACTGAAAATTATGCCCTGCACAAGTAAAAATAGGAATGTTATAGTAGCTTACGGCTCAAGTTGGACCAACTTATGAACTGAATCTCTTTGATGTGTCTTCTAAATATTATTAGTATTTGAAGCCTACTTTATTGTAGGTCAAGTCGTATGAATTTTTGATACTTATAACTCAAGTTATGATTTTTCTAAAGGAATGGTGCATACTAGCGTTTTTGGTGCGTTTTGGTGCATTTTGGTAGTGTGATCACTTGGTGAGGTGTGTGTACTAAATTTGGTGGATAAGAGCGGGTATTAATTAAGAGAAAGTGTGTGATTAGAAGTGCGAATAATAAGTTAGTGAATCATAAGTTAAAACAAAAGTACAAGAGAGTTAAGGAAAGTAGGCTTGAACCGACGTACGCTGTTTGTTACCGGTTGAGTACACTGCTTGACTAATACTTTCTTACCCTAATCTCTTTGTTTTTATCTCATTTAATCCTTCCTTAATCTAACCCTAAGACCAGCCGAAATTTTTGACCAAAAACAAGAGGAAAATTGGTTGCTTGACAAGTGTTGGCCATCCAAGCAAGTTGGAATAAGAATTTTCTTTCCTTCTTATCTTTCCTTTTGGCCAATTTTTCTTCATTTGTTTCTTCATCATGGCCGAACCTCTTGAGGGAAAAACAAAGAAAGAAAACTTCATCTTCAACCTCAATTTCTTGCTTGAATCTTGAGTTTTAACCATTGATCTTGCAAACTACACCATAAAAAGTGATAACCAAGGAAGATCAAAGGCTTTAGTGGAAAGATTTAGGAGGAACAAGGTTTTGGCAGCCTCTCTTCATAGGGATTTAAGGTAATCATGCCTACAACCCATTTGATCTCTTTTGTCTTGTTTTTGAGGAGATTTAAAGCTTGATTATGGGATATTATGTGAAAAAATTCATGATTGGAATAGGAATCAAAATTTCCAGCTTTAGTTGTGGAAAATGAGTGTTAATATGTCAATATCATGTTTACTATGAATTTTTAGCTATGCCATGTGATTTTTCCAGCTTGTACATGTTCTATTAGCTTGCTTATGGAAATTTCAGCTTGTAGAGTTGAACTTTTGCTTTATGGCCAGCCTTGATATGGAGACACGTAAGCTGAATACTTGTCTATTTTTGGTGGCTTTATGGTCTGAAATTAGTGTGACGCCCCCACTTCTCTCAAGGGCGAATCCAAGGGTATTCGCGGAATGCCTGTCCAACTCTCGCCAGGACTCGGTACAATTTCCGTTCAAGCTTAATACAATAATGACTATTAATACCAGATGACGTAAGAAAAGAAGTCACTTCCATGCATAGATATTCAATCTTATATTGCAAGATATCAAAAGTACATCTCATTCTCAAAATATACAACCTCCAAAAATCGTCTAGACAAATAAATTCAAAATCCCAAATTCAACAGTGTATCAAGTCCCAAAATACAACCGTTATAAGTTGACCAAACAATTACAACCAAGGTACTAATCAAAAGAGTAATCTAGTTGACTTTTCTCCAAAATCTTCCCATCCGGTCCTGCTAAGGAAAACAAATCTAACGGAGTGAGCGAATGCTCGTGAGACCAAGAAAAAAAATAAAATATGCACATGCGAACACATAGTTCAAGTAACAAGTAACAATAACATATGTACAGGAATTAAAGTCAAAAAATTCAAGTAATTCACAATTGATAATATAACACACTTGTTAAGGATACGAGAGCTCTCAGGAGCTAATTTCCACTTGTTTTGCCAAGGCTCGATCCGATACCCCCTCGTGATGACACTCCATTATCCGGGTAGGTATTAAATCCGTAGAAATTTCACTTAATACTTCCTCTATCCACCATTCCATCCTCTCGGATCCGTAACCAAATACGCACGAAGAGGGCGATACTACATGAGTATGCCAAACAAGATCTCAAGAGATCAAATTTTGTTTTTAAGAACAAGCACGAAAAGGGCGATACTCCACGAGTATGCCGAATAAGATCTCAAAAGATCAAGTTGTGTTTTGTAATAATCCCATGGTTCATCAAGCTTCTCGACCAAGCCCATGCCGGCTCGAGTCGCAGGATTGGCCAATGAGATTTAGGCGTCCCCATAAGTCGAGGAGGTTCACTCCACTCGACAACACGACACGCACGACAACACGACATGCACACATAAATAAGTATATTTTGCCGACGAGATTCACTCCAATCGACTTTGAAAATCAAGTTTAATGTAAGTAAAGTTTGAGTAAAGGAGAGCGAGTGCGATAAAGTACACACTCGTCTCACCAAGTGATATTCACGTATATAAGCAGATAAATCAAGTAAACACAACAAGTCATGCACTTGACATTCACCAATTCAAAAATAATTGAGCGAGTAAAGTCTTTAGTTGTCCCCTCTGGGATTCTCTTCAAGACTCACTTGAGCACCTGAAGAAATAGTGACCATACATCACTCACATAAACCCACTACCACGTAACACACAAGAAAGAATATCCACTTGTTTAGATTAAACCAAAGTCTCAAAAGAGAACCTATTTTTCTCGAAGATCGAAGTTCAAAAGTGATGGTCTAATAACACAAGAAAAACTGATTTCCTTCATGAAATCGAGTTTAAGCGATCAATTAACATCAAGAAAGAATAACTAGTTCTCAAAATTTCATTTTCTAAGAAATCGGCAAATTTCAGCTTTGCGCGTCAAATTTAGAAAAATCAGATCTTGCACTCAGTAGGTCCAAAATTGGAAATTTTATACCGTTGGAATCTTGATTCAAAGTACTAAAAGTTCCTAATAGACACTCTTCCAAGATTCTCTAACGGAAGACATTCAAATTTTAGCTCAAAGTGGCTGACTATGGGCACACAGGACAGTTTTAGTCTTATTTTTCGGTAAATTTTGGAAATTCGGCAAAATTCACAGAAAGTGAACTAGCCTCTGAAATTTGTAAATAAATTACAATTCCAGCCAAGGTTTGAAACACAACAAACGAAACTGAAATCAGAGTTTTGAGCATTGAGATATAGCACCTCAAAGTTGGTCGCATTTTATAAACTGTTCAGTCATTTTTCAGATTTGAAATGCTATCTTTGAAGTATTATTTGGCCATCGAATTGGCATTGAAAATACTCCAAATTTGGTACACTAAATATTCCATATATGAACTATATCTCTACCAAATTTTACACAAAAATGCACGTGGGAAAGCAGTTAACAAGACAACTGAAGTTTGTGAAATTTTCAAAACAAATCTGCCAAGTCAAGCTTCTCTTTCCCTTTCAAACACTTTGTATCATGAAATCAACTCCAAGCTGACTCATTTGTGAAACCAAGGTCTAAGAACATCTAATATACATTTGGTAGGTGATTGACATCAAAATTTCCAAAACAACATGTCCCAAGTCAAGCTAGGCCATTTGGTTAGCAAAATTAGGGTTTTCCAGTTTTGGTACAGTTCGGGAATTGGGCTATATCTCACTCAATACAACTTGAAATTGAGCATGGTTGGTGGTGTTGGAAACTACATTAAAAAATCTACATTGCATCAGAACAAATCATTTTAAAATTCAATTTGCAAATGAGAGAAAACAGAGCCACAAATTGCAGTTTCTGACTTCCCCTCGTTTGGACTGATGGAATAGGGCAGCCAACTTTGATCAGTCACTACAGATGAGTCAGTTTGAATTAGAAGATGCATGTATACTGTTAGAAAACTACAGATGTCTAGTTTTGAATGCCACTGACGGCACTCAATTCCGACATCTGTACAGAGAGATATGTTGTTCAAAGAACACTGCCAGAGGACTACTATTACACGTTTTCCAGATTTTGTTCTTGCCAAAATTCAATTTTTATCCAACCAATCCAAATGATTTTTGATAGAAACTTTATACACACCACACACAACATATATACAAATCAGTTTCAAGGTCAATTGAGCATCAAAA